ATAAATACACATGAAAGGGAGGGAGGTCCCTGCAAGGGGAGAACCCGGGGTAACCGGGCCCAATCCCTCAGGGTGGATGTGGTCCACTCCCAATAATAGATGAGGAGGTGTCAATTCCAGGAGAGGAAAAGCTGCTTCTGTAATGAGCCAGCTACTCCCAGTCCCTATTCAAGCCCAGATTAATGGTGTTAAATTTGCAAATGAATTTTAGTTCTGCTGTTTCTCTTTCTCAGATTAAGGTAGGTCATGAATTTAAAGCACAATAGCTATTCTGGAATAGTTTTTCATGTGGGCACTCTTAGTCTGGGTTAATGTAGGGTGTTAATTTAGTGTGTTATAATTATTCCTTGGTTAATTTCCTCATGTAGACTAGTCCTTTAATGTAAATGAGAATCGCTCCCTTTTGGGTTGGATGGAAGTAAATGTGGGTGTAAAGTGTGTGACTTTGTTCATAGTTGGCTCATGGCATGAGAACAGTGAGGTGAATGAAGTAACAGCCCCTTGTCTCTCCCCACCAAAAAAAGTAGACTCAGATCTGTCTGTTGTTCCTCTAGGTGACGGAGAAATGCCTGCAGCTAGGGGCAAAGAAAGTCTTTTACATCCAGGCCGATATGTCTTCCCCTCAAGCCCCAGAAAAGGTGGTGCAGTTTGCTTTGCAAAAACTGGGTGCGTATTGGGCCGTCTGAAGAAAAGCAATTGATGCTGGGGGAGAACAGGTGTCCGTGTGAAAGTCAGGCTGAGACTATAATAATTCCAGGTCCCCCAGGGCTGGAGGAAAATATGGTTGCAGCTGTCTTGTTCTGAATGGCCGGTGGGAAAGATTCGCTAATAATACCGAATTCCTGGATCTGATTCTCATTCACACCAAGGCTCCGCTAACGTAAAACGCCCTTGAAGTGGGTGTACATTCATACCCATTGCACCCTGCCAGAGCAGCGTTAAGGGGCCTTGCCTCAAACGAAAGTCAAGCCCTCTGTCTTTCAGGGGCGTTAGCTGATTAACCCTCACGACGGTTCTCTGAGGAAGGGGTGGAGGGAGGGCAGTATTGTTCTCATTTGACATGGGGAAACTGAGGCACAGCATGGTTCAGGTCAAATTCATACCTAGTTACTATGGTGGCTGGTACCATATAAATACCAGCGAGAGTAGATCAGACAGATCTGGCCTAGCTGGAGACTGTTGTTCCCATGTACGTTGTGTGTGTGTAATGAGCTCTCAGTCCAGTTCTTAATGGACACACGTCCACATCACAGACAGCACCATCCCAGGTACGCCTTCTCATTGGTAGCCTCCGCCAGGGGGCCAAGGACTCATTGGGCTGTGGAGGTGGAACCTTTGGGAGTGGGTCCCTCTGGATTGAGGTGGAATCCAATAGGTGGGACAATGCGGGCAGACGTTCCCTGGGCCAGGAGGGAAGCCAGGCTGCAGAAGGCCGGAGCAGGCTTCAGCAGAGGTCTTTGTCCTCCCGGGATGCCAAGGCTGGAAAGGAAGGATGGCCCAGTGATTAGAGTATTAACCTAGGACTTTGGCTTCAATTCCCTGCTCTGCCACAGCTTTCCTAGGTCACCTTGGGCAACTCACTTCATCTCTCTGTGGCTCAGTTGCCCATAATACCCTGCCCTGCTTCACAGGGTGTTATGAGGGTAAATACATTAGAAAGTACCTTAGATAGGCCCTCATGTGTTTCTGTCTTTCTCTGGATCGTGCCTGGCCCAGCTGCTCTCAGGCTGCGTCACCCTAACTGGGAGCTGCAGTCCTGAGAAGGTCTCTATGCCCCCAGCTCCCTCTGTACATCCTGCCTCGATCCAGGTAACACAGCAGGGAATTCAAGATTCCCAGGTCACAAGCTGCCAAGCACGGCTTCCCTTGCTGTGTGACTCCCTTGAAGGGTTTGCTTTCATTTACTACAAGCATGGAGGGCGGGGCGGTGTGTGGCTTTCCTGTCCTGCGCTGGCTCTGCAATTGATCCGTTGACGCCGTGTTGCCTTGGTCGGAGGCAGGCGAGTGGGAGTCAGGACTCCTGGGTTCCGCTCCTGGCTCCAAGGGTGACCTGGGTTCATTCTCTTTTGGCCTGACGTGTCTTTGTGGAGCCCCCCCTCACTGTTGTGTCTGAGTGCCTCGGTGTCCCCACTTCAGCCAGTGATGGATGGGTGTGTGAGGAGCGTGCCTGGTGTGTCTATTCCACCCTGGTAATGGTTGCAGTCTCAGCAGTGCCTTTGATTGATAGTGGGGTGCAAACTGGGTCTAGCCAACTCCAGCTGCCTAGCGCCCAAGGCGCAGCTTGTGCCCCAGGGGACACTCAGCGATGCCTGCAGCTGCCCTCCTCTTTCGAAATGGAGATGCAGCTTGCAGGGACTACACTTCCCACCATGCAATGCTTCACCTGGAGCCAAGGAGCACTGGAAAGAGACACCCACTGCCATCTCTCTAGGTGCTGCCTGGGGGGTCCTGAGGAGTTGCCTTGACTGGGCACATCCTGGGCTCCAGCTGATGGACCTCTTCCCAGCAGCCCAACGGAAAGAGCTGGCTGGTTCGCTTCCCCCTTTATGCTGCATCTCTTGGCCCAAGGATGGTCCCGAACCTGACCCTGACCCCCATCCTGCTCTGCTGCTTGCAGGGGGACTGGATCACCTGGTGCTGAACCACATTGGCGGGACCCCTTTCCAGATGTGGGATGGAGACGTGGAACACACCCGCTGGCTCATGCAGGTTGGTTTCTGCCGCCGAGAGCGGGCTTTCCTGGGATCGGCCTCGCTTTCAGAGACGCGGGGCAAATGCAGACCGGGGG